GTCTACCGTGTGCTACATGCGGCAAAGGACACAGGGGAGAGTGCTTAGCTGGCAAGAACATCTGCTTCAGGTGCAAGAGGCCGGGGCACATGGCTCAAAATTGCCTTGAGCACGGTCGGGATCAGCAGCAGCAGCCAGGACCAGGAGGGAGAGCCTGAGTGTTCGCATTGACCCAGCTTGAGGCAGCAAATAATCAAGGTACTATGTCTGGAATGCTTTCTGTGCATGGTATACCTGTTTTCGCATTGTTTGATACCGGAGCAACGCATTCCTTTATTTCATCGAGCTGTATGGAGGCCATCGGAGTCCAAAGTGTGAGTGCAGTCGATGCCCTAGAGGTCAGCCTAGCCTCGGGGAAGACGATTGTTACGAACACTATGGTACAGGAATTGAAGATGAACATCGGGGGACGAGATCTGGAGGCCGACACCTACGTCATCAACATGAAGGACTTTGACATTATTCTAGGGATGGACTGGATGACAAAATACCATGCCGACATCAGCTGCCACCAGCGAGAGGTGACATTGCATTTGCCAGGAGATGATCGGATCGTGTTTTTCGGAGCTCAGACTAGGACTGTACCCAGAGTTGTATCTAGCATGAAGTCGATGAAGAATCTTCAGAAGAAGGGTTTTCAGGGCTACTTAGTGAGTGTCGTCGGGAGTCAGAAGGAGGAGCCGTCTCCCGAGTCAGTATCGATCGTTTGTGAATACCGCGACGTTTTTCCAGATGAGCTTCCAGGAGGGCCACCGGATAGACAAGTAGAGTTCACTATTGACCTGATCCCCGGAGCCGGACCAGTGTCAAAGGCACCATACAGGATGGCACCGAAGGAGCTGCAAGAGCTCAAAACACAGATTCAGGAGTTGCTCAATCTCGCATTCATCCGGCCGAGCGTCTCGCCATGGGGTGCGCCTGTACTTTTTGTGAAGAAGAAGGATGGCACGTTGAGAATGTGCATCGATTACCGGGAGCTGAACCGGTTGACCGTGAAGAACAAGTATCCTCTTCCGAGAATAGAGGACCTCTTTGACCAGCTAAGGGGAGCGAGCGTATTTTCGAAGATTGATTTATGATCGGGCTACCATCAGTTGAAAATCAAGGAAGCAGACGTATCAAAGACGACGTTCAGAACGAGGTATGGTCACTATGAGTTCATAGTGATGCCGTTCGGGTTGAGTAATGCACCGGCGGTATTTATGGACTTGATGAATCGGGTCTTCCATCCATACTTAGACTGGGTTGTTATCGTTTTCATCGACGACATCCTGGTTTACTCGAGAGACGCTGACCAGCACGCCGAGCATTTGAGGATCGTGCTAGAGACCCTTCGCAAAGAGAGGCTATATGCGAAATTTTCCAAGTGTGAATTCTGGATGGACCGAGTCGCCTTCCTTGGTCACATTGTTACCGCCAAGGGAATCGAGGTAGACCCCAGCAAGATAGAGGCAGTAAGCAACTGGAATACTCCGAAGAAAGCCGGTGAGATTCGAAGTTTCTTGGGTCTTGCTGGTTACTATCGGAGGTTTATTGAGGGCTTCTCGAGAATAGCCCAACCATTGACCCAGTTGACAAAGAAGGAGACCAAGTTCGTGTGGACTTCCCGGTGCGAACAGAGCTTTCAAGAGTTGAGAACTAAGTTGACCACCACACCTGTATTGACCATTCCCGACCCTACCTTGGACTTCACCATCTATAGTGATGCTTTCAAACAAGGATTGGGTTGTGTGTTGATGCAGCAGGGGAAAGTAATAGCTTATGCTTCGAGGCAGCTGAAGCCTCACGAGCAGAACTACTCGACACATGACTTGGAGCTTGCAGCAGTAGTTCATGCATTGAAGATCTGGCGGCACTATTGTAGACATCGAAATTTTAATATTTTATTAATTAATGTATTTAT